GGGGGGAGGGGGGGGGGGGGGGGGGGTAGGACAAATGGAATAGAAGAATGAAAATGGGTTTTGTACCGGAGGACCTTTTTGTCCATTCCTCATTACTTTCTGTTTGTGGATTTCCGGTTATTCTTCTCCAGCCATTGGTTAATGGGATTTGCGATCCAGTGAGGATGGAGTTATGGAGGTTTTTTCGTAATTGGGTGATGGTATCGCGGAGTAATTGAGATGGGGTGAAGTGATAAATTGGGAGAGATTGGGTGGGAGACGTTTGTTGTTGATTTTTTTGGGGCGATATATTGATGGTCTATCAGCGGTGATATGTTGATATTGTTGGACCAATGAATGTTGCACATGTTTTTTGACGTTGATATATTGATCTTGCAATATCGATATTGATATATTCATATGTTAATGTTACTACATCGCAATATTAATATGAATATATTAATATATCAATGTACTATGCCATAGATTTTTCAACATTGCTGTCGATCATATAATATTATATTATATTATATCAGTACTGATAATCGAATGATTGATATTGTAATACCAATAGAAATATTTGACTCCGAGTTTTTTTTTAATCTGGGAAGAGTAGGAGATTTTTTCTTTTTTTTTTAAGGGGAGGGATTGGGATGGATTTGGTAGTCAGTGGGCTATTCGCAATGGGGGAGAACGTGGTGATATGGAATTTGTGTACACCGGTATGATCCTTCAAAGGCATTGTGGACGATCAGTTGTGGAGCCAATGATTAGCCCTGATACTCACGACTGGATGCATAGATTTTCTTTATAACGAGATTCATCATTAGAGGAACTAAGCCCTTCTAGTATTCATGAAATTATATCAAAACTGAACTTATGGTGATGCACTATACAATATATTTATTGCTTAATATATCTTATTATAATATATTATAGCAGGATATATCAATATCTTTAAATTTAATAATCAATATATTTCGGAATATACCGACAGAAATATTCATAAAAGAAGAACAGATTTGTAAAAAATATTGGCAGTGTCTATTCACACGCTCCACGGTAACTTTGACCGTGGATATATGGGAGATCGTGGACCCTCAACTTGTACTTCTCAAATTATATCTAGACAATAAACTAGACACATCGAATCAATTGATAAATGATATGCAGATAGTTGACTAGTAAATAATTTTCTCAAAATATTAATTCGTCGATTACGAATATCAGTCTAGATTAACGAAAATAAAAAATGAAATAAATAGTTGACAAATAGTTCACTAAATGCAAATAAATGATGAAATAAATATTTTTTTACATTTTATGTGAACGTTTTCTCAACAATATTCATATTTGTCTAATGGGGTCCGAGTGCAGGAGTCGGTGCCAAAATATAGTGCAAATGATTTTAAGGATGATTTCCCAACCGGAGGAGACTCCTAGACCCCACTGGACAATGTTGTCACAACTCTGCTTTTCAACTCAATTGTCAGAGTTGGAAAGCAGAGTTCCTAGCAGAAATGTCAGACAAGATGGAAGTGAGAACCGTGAATCCACTGTAAAATTTACCGTGGAGCGGGCGAATAAACACTGCCAAAAATATTATGGGCAATTGACAGTTCATGTTTCACATGAACTCTTCGTACTAGAAAATAACTAAACCGACTCGTCTACATGAAAAGCATGTGTCAATAAATTCTGAATATCTCCAGAACTCTCCGATTTTCTTCTCACCGTTTTTTTCCCCCCAAAATCTCACCCATTCTTTCCTTCCTCGCGCCCCAACGCACCCTCACGTGTAACAAGTGGGCGAAAAGGCGATGGAAACTAATTTGCGGTCACGAAAAAAAAGGGAGTAGAGAAAA